ATGTTCAACAACGGCGAAAAGCCATGGCCAGACGATGAACCGAAAAGGATTGCTACTCACATACGGTTCGTTACGACAGCAGTCATTGCACAATAGGAGTAAAAGACGTTATAGGACGATAGACCTGGCTATTACCCATGTCGTGACGTGACAGTGTTGCACGCCAAGTCGACGGTGATGCATTGCCGCGCAATTCACGTTCGCGCGTTCATACTTTGCGGCAGCGCCCACCAGCGTTCCAAGCGTGCAGCAACGCCAGCGACTAGAAAATGTAGATATCGATCCAGCGTCTGCCATCATCCGCTGACGTCTACTAGCGTCTCGAGGGCTAGGGGATCGATCTACAACGTCACTATGGACCGGAGTAGAGATTATGGCACACTGGATTAGGGTGTTCGTGAAAACTGCGGCGACGTGCAAACACAAACGTGCGTACAAAATTACATTTGCAACGTACATAAACATTGACGGAACCGTGCGTGAGACACATTGAATCGCACCGATTAGGCCATGTGGGACAGCGTGCCATACTATGCAATCGACGCATTCATCAAATTCCATTATCTTTCAATCAGTGCATGGTTTTTATTAGTTATTCCTTATATTTGTATAGTTCAGTACCCTGATGTACTGTGATATCGTAGCTCATGGAAATATATTCAGTAGTCCTAGTTTGCAAATACTTTTTTCTGGGTAAGATCACATTTGCTCGGATGATTTGCTATTCAACATGGAGGGGTTTTGTCTCCAACACTTAGCTGAGAAAGCTGCATCGATAGAAATGTTTTTGATTTAATGGTAAATATTATAGGGTCGAAGGATTCTGAGGCTATTAGAGGGCACACATTTTTTTTTATGAAAATATTGGTTGCGGACGAATTTCTGGCATCTAGTGCACGAGAGTTAGCCAGCCAGGTTTTTTCTATACTGAAGTATTAACTTACTTCATAACTGCGCTCTAATTCAGTTTTCCGATCCAATTTCCAAAAAAAGCGCTCGTTGGGATCGTACTGACTAAAACGAGAGAATTGTTGGTACTCGCAACGTGGTGTGCGTTTCGAGAGAAAGCGCCGTGTCCACGCGGCCAAAAAGTTAAAAAAACGCGCAGTGTTTCGGTCAACGTTTTAAGATTGATAACTCTGTGCTTTAGCACTGGTGCAGTGCATATCGAAGGCAACCGTTTCGATGCCTTGGATTTAAGGCTGTTTGCCTTGCTACCTGGCTAAGACTCTTCTATCCCGTTGGCAGTGGAGCTGCTGTGACGCTGCGCAAACAATGAACGCCCCCTGAGTGACTACGGAAGATAGCTCTTTAATGCATCTCTGTCATATGGCGCACATCTCGATGACATAAAAAAGTGTTGTGTTCAGAAAAGGCGAAAGTGCTAATTGCTTCTAGCACGCCACCTCAGGTAGTACAAATGACAGGAATTATGGTAAGTGCATTGCGAAGATGCGAGCATGTGGTAATATTCACTTGTTACTTCATCCCCATTCAGGAATATCAGTCCAGAAGCGAGACCTTCAATGGACGACCTGTGCAAACAGTTGAGAGCGCTGAACAAAACAGACTTCAAGGTAGTCATTTCCGTTGTGCATTTCACAGAAGTAATTGTCCTCCATGAGAAACTGCGTTAGCGGTGAGTACAGAAACGAGGTAAGTCGGCTAATCTAATGATATAAAAGTTAAAAATAGCAATTAAGCCCGTAGGAACACCGAGTTAATTTAGATCACTGCTGTTCAGTCAAGCAGGAACACTTGGGCAGACCATAAGGAAAGAACAGACGCCAAGAATGAGAAAGTTTACGGATCAGGAAAGCCACAATGTGTACCGGTTTTTAGCAAGTGAAGCGGGAGATTAGCTCACTGTTGGCGGATCGGAGCTGTCCTTAGCAGATTGGCGACTCTACTTTATATGCGGGCTGACAAAAACGGTATACGTGTGTTTGGGATCTCACTACCGGCTAAGGAATCGCCTGAACATCAGGACTATCACGATGTTTTTGGTATTAACCGATCTCTAAACATCGGTTGGAAACAAAAGGAATTTATATTGACAATAAATTACAGTCAATGTTGCTAGTGTGCAGGGCACAGGTATGTCATGAGTTGAGGAATTTTGCGTCTAGCTGTCGACCCTCCCATCCTAGTTCCCTCTTCCCTCCGTTTCCTTCCTGCTATCGAGCCGATCGAGCGGTGGGAGAAGGGAGATTTGAAGACTTTTTTTCCAACGCCCGCAAATTCAAATTCCCTCTAAGAAGGCAAGTACGAGAAGGGCCCCCCCCCCTGGGAATCCCAAGATGTGTACCTGGTAGCGAAGGATGGTATGATTATTCAGGTGCCTAACTGTAGTTGTCATTCAAACTATGAAGAAGGCGAGGAATCGATGGTATCGTTCATAAGTGTTTTTAGGGTGAGATAGTCAAATGACGAACTTTGGACGGACGTTATGAATCAAGGAATGATCTTGCTAAAAACTGAATCTTGCGCTGTAAGTGACAGTTTCACATTATGAGTACCTAGTTTTGTTTACGGAACGGCAGAGAGTAATATGGGGAACACCTAGCCAAACTAAGATGTTCTATCTGACCGACAGTAGAAAGTAGGCACATACACACAGTTATTATCATCGCATTCCGGTGGGGCGGTGTCAGGAAGCAGGCCCACCAGCGGTGATGTCTACCGCTGAGTGTTCTCTACCTGAACCGGCCACTACTGGTAGAAAGTGTGCTAGCAATAGGGCTCACGCCTTCTGAAATCGAATTGCAACGATATCAAATATAAGTACGAGGTCGGCCTCCCTGACTGCCTCTGTTCTTCGCCCATGGATTACCCGTCCTTATCAACAAACGTTTTTGACCCTCGTGGAATGGTTGAGGTAGTAGGGACTGGAAAGGGAGTCCCATTCACGTTGCCAGGAAGGTGTGATCACGCTGACGACGTACCAAACCTCCGGGGAGCACCCCTGCTCCCCTCTTACACCGTACTATACTATCGTGCCTTATGCCTTTTACTCATAGACAGACTTCATGCAGGCTTTTGTTTCAGTTGGATGATTCGGATTCAATAAGGTCGTTGAATAAGAGCGCGGAGCAGGCAGGCAGTGGCATAGTCCAGAGGAGCAGCCGTCAACAACCGAATGCCAACAAAACATAACATGGACAATCATACCAGTTGAACACAGAATGCAAATTTCTGCTAATTTTACTGCTTTAGCTAATGTAAATGTGTAACGATTAGATATTCAGTCGATAAACTTTTGTATTTAGCAACTGTAATGTATGCTGTTTGTTCGCTGGTTTATCTTCACCGGAAAGATTCCTGGAATGTATTTTGGGGTTTGTGGCGGTGGTGGAGGGGGAGGGGAATATACTCACCAGCGGAGGCTATGTCCATGCGGAACCACCGCTCAGCGACTCTGATCATCTGTGCTCTAGAACTAGTTTTTTTGACGAAGGGATACACAAGCGCCCGGGGTCAAGCATCACGTCGCGGGCATCAGCATCGGCAAAGCTACACGGTTTCCGAAACCAGAAGAGCTTCTCCTCCCGAGGAATGCTACGATTTCGCCGCAGCTCTACTACACCGGAAATGCTCCCGTTGCGGATTTGGCTCCGGAAATACTTCAGCTGCAGTAAGTGGGTCCCCAACAATACAGCCCACATTTCCACGCAGAAACCTCGGAGAATTTCCAATACACCCACTTCCATCTGTGGTCAATAGGAACTGAAAAAAGAGGCGCTGATACACTTCTTTGTGGAAGCGCTACGTACTCGTCCTCCATTCAGGAGCGCAGCGATGTAGAAATATGAATTTAATGGAATACTGACCTAATACGGACCGAGTAATCTTCTGGGCCAGCTTGTGAGTTACTCACCATATTCAGAGACACGTTACACTCGGAATCCCTGAGATGAGTAGGCGTGGCTGCGCTCTTTGACTAAACAAGGCGGTGATTGTGGTTTGGGTAAGATATTTTTATTTCGAGACAACTGTAGTCACAACAAAGGACAAGATGACAGTTGTCTTGGGTGAAAATAATCACCGACGAGTAACCCGGCCTATGCCATGTCCAAAAACGCCCCGCCTACTCCGTCTCAAGCTTAAGGAATGTACCATGTTGTAGATCCTACTATAATAATCCGCTAAGTATGTCTGTCTGTCTGTGTTCCGTGCCCCTGTTCTGTCACACACTTATTTAGTGGCCCCCGTCCACTCCGCCCTGTGTGGAGGCCAAAATTTTGATTCACGAAAGTGAACAGCGCCCTGGTTTTTGCTTCTAGTGACCGCCCGATATGCCACCGATAACAGCCGTGAAAAGATCGTGTGAGAGGCTCTGATAAGAGGCGTCAGCAGGAGGGTACCTAGCTCATACGCAGGGACACGAGCAAACAGTTTTGGCGACTTAGTTTTCAAGGTATGATATAGGCCGTAAGAGAGAGACATTCATTGTGCTTGTGAATGACATACGGTGCAATGATATTAGCTGATAAGAACTGATAACGCATGACGTTAGTGGAAGGAGTGCCAGCGTGGTACAAGCTCAATAGCTGACGTGGGTCAATCCCTAGCAACACTATGAGGATCTTGTTCAAGCGTGCATCTCCCTGCCTAATTCTCACACCGCGGCCCTCGTCGCCACAGCCGCCCTGACTCCTCTGGTGGCAGTGGGGTGACAAAGATTTGCTCTAGGTCAGCTGATTAAGATGTTTGACTCCGGAGGAGACCAGTTAGAGGACTAAGGCTTGAACCGGTCACCATCGTCGACATTTAATGCCGGGACGAACATATGTCTTAATATACATGTTATACGGCGTTGATTTCACCGCATCATCGATTATAAGCCTGTGGAAGTGGTGCGCAATCACGCGGGGCGTGAGGGGGTTGACGGGAAAGTGATAACTAGATCGTGATAAGGCGCGAGCTGAACAGGTAGACGGATAGTGCGCTTGTTGTCTCGCAGTCAAAGTGCTGGAGCCTTTACACTACCAAATTATAGAGTTTTAGTGATAGCGACATTGTTGACGGGTGACAGGCAATCTTATCAATTGATAAGAAAGATAAAGGAATTCTTGCGACATAGTATGACCACCAGGTTTGGCTGCCGCGGCCATTGACTGCGCTAATTTGTGGGAACCTATGGCTATCGCTGACAATGGCGCGGGATTTTCTGTGGTGGCCCCTAAAACTTCGCCTTTTTCCCCATTCTTCGGAACACGGCCCATTTCATCATAATTCTCCTCTTTAATGAACATTTGCCAACGTATGGTGCTTATCACAACACTCAAAATTCCTGGAAATGAGGCAACTTAGCGGTTGAAAGAGTTTCAATGGTAACAATATCGAAATCATAGTGAAGTGTTCTAACATCCTAATTCTTCCGTGAGCAGCTTTCACATATCGGTCTATTGGCGACTCTTATCATTCCTCACTGACGAACATAAAAATTTTTTTAATGGGCTTTTTTACTTCTGGGTGGTACTCGAGAGTTTAGCGGTCGGATCAACTCCGACTACATCCTAAGGGATAGGAACATCTCTGCTCACTAAGGTTTAGCCCATTAATTCTTGGACCACGGTGGTCAAGTTCGATCGCAGGGATAGCAAAGATGCAGCTCGCGCTGTGCTCCGACTCTTGCATTGAATTTTGAGGCCTTCCTGAAGCGGGCCTCCTATGGTACTTTATCGGCTGTTATCAGGTCCTGCTACTCACCAATAATGTTCCTATCCTGCCCCATATATTACTTCTTGAAAACAACGTTTACCGCTGCTGTGACGCGCGTGTATTGATGTGAACGTTTCCTTTCCTAAGTGGCACGCTCTGTATGCCTGTCATCTGTCACTGCGTGGGCTGTTATTCACTTCGCTGTCGCCGAGACCCCACCAAAATCTCTCTATCTGGCCCCATATGATGTACTTCTCTGGAACCAACGCTCTACAGCTCGCAACATGTCTCCGCTTTGTGCGCAAATTGTGTACTTTCCGCTGACCGTTCAATACTGCTCTCAGAAGTGACTTCTCCTTCTATGGTTAATCTAGTTTCCGAACATTTTGTTCACAAACTCCCTTGTGAAATTCCCGCAATAATGTTCAAACGCTGCCCAAAACGTTAATACCTTCTACCATCTTTACTCTGACTACTGGTGTTTGATCGGTTTATCACTTTTTTGAAGGAAGTTATGAATTTCCGTCAAACACAACATATCAGATCACACAGACCATTACGATTCAGCACACAACACTCGATCCAAACAGACAAATCTTTACGCGGATATATTAGTAGGATTGCATTGTTGAGTATTGAAGGCTCACTGGGCTAATTTTTCCTTCAGCCATTACTTTCCTGATAACAATAGAAAATGAACTCATCCCATTATCCACTACTATCATAACGTCGAGACCGACGAAGAAAGGGCGGGTTATGCTAAGTCGCCTGACTGCAACTCGAGGAAACTCAGGAAAAATTGTAAAGTCTGTTCATACTCAGCAAAATGCGTGTAATGATCGACTGCACGTTTGTACAGGAAACCATTGTTTGTTGTGGGAAATCCCGAATAGGACGGCCGTTCGTAAATTTTGCCGCTCTCAGGGACAGGTGGTCGGTCGTGTTTGATTCTATTTTTGGCGTCCTTCCGCTAGTGGCGGTTGACTTTTGGTGATTTTCCTGTTTCACATGTGCTTTTTGTGCTTGTTACACCCCCCCCCCGCCACTACGGCTTCGTTCGATGGAGGAAGGGAACAGAGGGCTGGCGGGGGGTGGTCGTATCAAACCTCAAAAAAAAAAGGGGGTGAAGCGTCGTTATAGAGTACGACTCATAATCCCACCAATGATGTGTCCTGCTGTGTATCTATATTTTAGCGTCTAATGTTATTGTATGGGTGTTACGCGTCCACTCGCTGTGGACCGCTTGCATAGTGATAATGGTGCGTTTGGTAAGGAGTGCAGGATGCCTCCATAGACGATTGCTCTAATCTGTCTCAGCAAATAATGGAGACCAATACCAATTACTCAGCGCTGTACGAGCAATGCCTCAGTGATTTTAGGAGTTCCGTTTCCCATTCATAGAGCGGACCTGGCCAACTGCACAGACCGTCGCTCGCGATAAGTCCGTATCGGCTAAAGGAGGAGGAGAGCTCGGCGTCAGCCGCGGCGATCCGACTGGTATGTTCTATATTGAATTTAATTCGTCATGAATTTCCTCAATCTGGACGTGGAGAGAGATACCGCCGCTCTTACGGCTAGGCGCAAAGGCAAGGGGCACAGTTTCACTGTGTTTTGCTCTGTTCTTTACTGACACCTCCATATACGACCCCGTCTCTCCACCTTCAGGTTGAATACGACCCCCACATTGCATCCAGGACGTACACTTGATGCTGGGTACCCTATACCCTATTTACTGGGCTAGAAGGTTCATTTATTTGAAACACACGCGACAACGCGGTCAAATTTTCCTAACGTAACCGCTGATTTTTGTATGGTTTTTCTTTGTACTGCAATCTTCCGAACTCCTCTTATGAGGGTAGGGTAACACTGTTCTCTTCCATTAGAACTTCCTAGTCATACTCCCTCTCTAATGTTTCGCTAAAGTAAACCCCCCATGCCACCTCAGACAGTGTGACAACATTTGAATTTTATCAAATAAGTGGATGACTTGTCATTTATGATGTAGAGAAAACAAATGAGGATAAATAGTTTATTCATGAGAAGTTGTATGTAGAACCCGCATCACGTCTGAAATCGTATGTACCCGATCGAAGTACCTGAAACTGCACACGAGAACAAAATTAACAAACAAAGCAGCATAAACAACGTCAAATATGAACAAAAACAAGTTCAAAAAAAGAAAGATTCGTCTTTCCTTCTCCTCATCATTATGGGCTCTTTTGCCTTTTTTCTGCTTTGTTTTCTTTTTCTCTTTTCTTGGCCCAACACTCATCTTGTTTATATGTTTTATTAACTTTTGGAGACTTTCCGTTCTCTGGTATGATTAAAATGACAACTGATATACAAAAAAAATCTATAGGACCACAACTAATACGCATAACAATCAAAACTAAAGATCTACCAACAAAAGAAATGGTTACAAGTTAACATAGATGATACGCACTCTGATAATAAACACGAAAACCACAACCAACAATACTGATAGTGGTTTTCTGAGAAGATCGTAAAGATCGCATCACCAAGCGAAATCAGGGATTCCGGATTAGAAAAGACCGTCACAGTGTAGCGTCCTTTTTCCAATACCTCGTAGAACATGCGAACGTTGTGATAAGAAACTTAACCCTTTTCATATTTCATCATCCGACTGAAAAAGGAGTCTGATTGGAAACAGAAGAGGTAGTTCGTGGTCGTGGTGCATCTTGGGCGCAGTTCGGCTTGGTGAGGGCACCAGATGGTACTCAGCGAAGTCTGCACAGGCCACCTAGTGAAGACGCAAGCTCTCGCAACTAAACTAGCTTACAACATTCCTTGGCTTCACAGGAGTTCACAAGTTTCAACAAAATGATAACTGTTGGTTAACGGGAAGTAGTAAGGGAAACTAGCAGAGGAGCAAAATGCCCCTCCCATGCCGAACAGCGTCCCATCTTGATATGACGCAGCGCGATGCGCGTGCATGTTCCATAACAGAAAGAGCAGATAGATGCAACATACCTCACTCTGTGGTATACCAGCCAGCATTTTGTTCGCAGTCAGTGGCGAATTCTCGCGGGAGCCTCCAGACTGGTGCCACGTCACATCCAGCAGCGCTCCTTTGAATAATCCGCCATCCATGACCGCCTGTCAAATAGTATAATTACCACAGTAATGCTCAGAATCTAGATGAAACAAAGAATAGTACCTGGTCCGCGTCCTCCCGGCTGCGGAACGTTAAAAGTATCATTGGATCATCTCCTTTGACAACTTCCACGTTCAAAATATCCCCATACTGACTCATATGTTCCACCAGTGCGTCAGTGTCATCAGGCTTAAACAATCAGAATTGAAAAGAACTCAACTAGTTTGCAGATAAAACGCACGCTCACTTGCGAGGTGTATTCTTGACATGTGCGAGGTGAGCAGGCCACCAAGCATTGAAGCGTAGCGGTTTCCCCGCCCGAACATGCGTGAGGATGGGATTCTGGACCGTGAGATAGGCTAATTCCCCATACTCCGCCTAAAAAGCAACTTGCGCCGCAGACACGCAACATGCCGCTACAATATCCCGATCGCACCTACACTGACCGGCCGTCCGAGCAGCGCGTGACGCGCACAACGCTTCTGGCACTGCCAATTCTCGTATTTTGCGCTTTCGCATACGCATATTAAAACAGAGACTCATGATGCGGATAACAATTTGGTCGTTGC